GTGCGAGTTGGTGGTCCTTTGCTATCGCTAAACTCACGCGAAGTAAATAATAGGCAGTCTTGGTTGATTTTAAATATAGTGCAAAGAAGACGGGACAAAAAGGGTGAAGCAGCACTCAGGACAAGCGATTTTTCGTGCTATTTGTCCCGTCGTTTTTGCGATATTTTTAATATGAATCTCAATTACCAACTTGATCAGCAGACAAAGCTTTTACCAAGCTTAGTTGATTGTTTTGAAACCTCCGATTACAATATAATGCATGCTTAAATTCGTCGGCCAAGTATCGGGTATTGTTATCGGAGTCAGGGAATATTGTATTAAAACTTCCTAATCAAAAGCATGAACCTAAAGATGTTGACACAAGTTGTTCTTGCTGGCGCATATTGCTAGCGAAAAATGCTCGTCATTGGTGAACAGTTTCGCTGTTTCGCCGACCGTTTTTTGCAGCAGGCGACGCGAAGGTGCAGAGTGGTGCGGCGATCGCTAGAGACGAAATATCTCGAAACCAAGGTGCACATGTACTTCAAGTAACAGTCGACAGGGGGCACTGATAGTACTGCGGGCAACGCGGAGCGGTGCTCACACTCATATTGATCGCGATAGCACTTGTGCTGGTCATACTTGTGTGTATGGGCGATCTTGCGCTCTGTGGGCATAGCGGCAGGGACGCCAACACGATGTTTCTGAATCCGTTTTTCGCGTCTCTGCAGCTGTTGCTGCTTCTTGGTGCCCCTTGCGTTCCCGGCCAGCACAAGTACAGTGGCCTCACAGGACTGCTCGGCCTGACGCGCTTGATATCGACGGGACGGTGGCGCTGTAAGCGTTTCCTCCTGAAACTTTCCAGCGTGCATTGGGCAGGCCAGGTCGACTAGGCAGCTCTTACCAATCGCGGGCAGCAGGCGGGAGGAGTTTCAGGAAGACTCTACTGCTGTAACTCCGGCGTTTTCGACATTGGCCGCTTCAGCGCAATACACGGGGAAGATAGGGCGGTGAGCCCACTACCCAACTTCTAGGGCGCTGTAGCGCAAGTTTGTCTTCAGCAACTTAACCCCATCATCATCATTGCAGGATTAGACCGACACGTGGAGCCGGTTTATCTATAATGACACGCCCCTCTTCCCCAAACCGGCCTTCCACCATATCGTCACGTCAAGCCTGACACCCGCATCATCATCACCAACTGCAATCAGGGGACGTATAACAACATGACCGTCAACGGACCTCTTTAGTGGGCATAACGGCAGGGCCGCCAACTCGATGTTTCTGAATCCACTGTTCGTGTGTTTGCAGGTTAGTAAATTTAATGTATCTACGTTTCGAAGTGACAATAGATGCCTTGTGCTACTTCTGTGCCGAAGCAGTGTTTTTTGTTATTTGTCCAATTGTACAAAGTTTCTCCTTTTACTTGCGGGAGACGTTTAGACTAATCCGGGTCCGCTTACGGACGCTCAAGAACAACTTATGCTGCAGAGTCTGGCTCTTTCACCCCAACTTCAAGCAGGTCAGGCTGCGCTTCTAGATGAATTAAAGGTAAATCAAACCAACCAGAACTCTCTAGATGTAAAAATAGAAGAGCTGACGACAAGACTCAAAACTGATGAGGTTGATATAGCCCCGTTTCTGCAGTTACGAATTGATACAGACATTTTTATTGCCTCCATTAACCGGTTGGATGCACAACTCAGAAGCGTGTCCTCGCAGTGGGATAATTTTGAGAGTCAGTGTTGGAGGCCGAATTTGATTTTTTTTATGGAATTGATGACTCTGGCCGTCGAAACATTGTCTGTCTCGGAGGCTAAAGTTGTCTCACGTTGCCCGGAGGTTCTGTGGCTGGAAGTGAATTCTTTGTGCTAGCAGCGTGCCCATAGGCTCTGTGTATTTAGGCCAAACCAAAACAGGCCTTTGATTGCGATATTCGTGTCGTTTAAGCTGAAACAAGATATTTTATTTCTAGGGTTCAGACTTAAGGGCACTGGTTTCTCACTTAGCGAAGATTTCTCACCTAAGATTCGTAATTAACGTAAAATGCGCGAATTTCCAAAGGCCAAAAATGTCAAGTTTTGGTTTAGGTATAATCGTCTACATATTGGGGATTAGACATATTACGTTGCTCCTATCACTCAGTCCGTAAAAGTTACCGCTACCTAACAATCACAGAGATTTGGACTTTACCCCACTTCACCTTTTAATTATCTTGTAATTCTAAATGTTTAATGTCGAAGCGTTCGAAACAAAGCAGGCGAACTAGCTGCTTTAGTTTCTATCACTAATGCTAGTATTGGTATCGGGAGTTAATCCTGGCTTGAATAATACTGTAGAGACGACGACCGACCAGGTTGATGTCCGAAATCCAACTGGGCTTTTTATTCTAATCCCATCGCGCTTCAACCTTCTCTTCTTTTTCTGGAGATCTCATAGTGGCGCGTGGCTGCAGGATTCCCCCCCAGGAATCAAGGCTAATAGGCTTATATTCTGATGAAGGCAGGACAGACTTTAGATGGTCGTACCCGTTGTCGGATGGTTGCGACAGCACGTCGTCTATTTCGTCTGCAACCTGGGGTGGTAGGCTGGCGACGACATGGTAAAAACGGGATATCTGCGTAGTGATTTTACGCAGATGGAAGTGCGCCTCCACCTGGGTAAACCAAACCTGAGGGTTTTGTGGCCAGAATGGTGGTAACCGCAGAGGCAGAGTTTCGGTCACTGGAGTCCCGCTTGCTTCTTCAATGTCGCCGTGTAGTTGAAGGGTGGGTGGACCGGTGTTGCCAGGTTGGCGGCCGGTCGTGCCGCTAGTGCCCGGTTGTCCTTCATCGGTCATGATAGAGTAGTTCGGTTGATCACGTCCGGGTCACCAAATCTAAAGAAACGGCGACCGACCAGGTTGATGTCCGAAATCCAACTGGGCTTTTTATTCTAATCCCCTCGCGCTTCAACCTTCTCTTTTTTTTCTGGAGATCTCATAGTGGCGCGTGGCCACAAATACATCTCCGATCTAGAAGTTTTTCCGCCCAATTTTACTGTTCATCGTAAATATAGAAATGGCTTATGTGGTGGTCTTTTTGATCGTTCATGAAAGTTAAAAAAGCGGCAAGATTGATTTCAGTGGCTTATCATGTGAAACTGTATGGTGCCGCGTCTATCTTAAAGATAACGATTTTATTACTGTAGGCTGTTTTTATAGACCTCCGGCAAGTGAGATTAACCCAATTTTTTTCTTTGTAAGATCCTTTATCTGTTGCCGGTGGTGGTTTTCTAGTGAATGGAGGTGACTTTAGTATACCCGACATTCAATGGTTAGATCATAATCATGGCACAAATCTACAAGAATTTGTGCCAGCCGATCGAGCATTCTTGATTTTCTTTTTATCTATCGTGATGTGGCGATTTCTTCTGTAACAGTCATTCCCGGTCTAAGTGACCATAAATTTGTGACAGCGAATTTGACTTGTTCATTCAAAATCAGTGTTTTGCTTCGTCCAAAAGAATTGTTAATTTAATAGAGGTGATTATGGTGGCTTATCACTGGGTCATCGTGCACCACGCAGCTAACTGAATTCTATGATGATATAGCATTATCTTTCGATAAAAGTAAGCAGGTCGACTGCAGTTTTTTTGAAATTTTAAGAACGCTTTCTATATTGTTCCTCATATTGTCCTCATGTTTAAACTTCAAAAGCTTAATATTGATCCTACCGTGTTGGATAGGGGAATACTTGAATTCCAGGAAACAGTCCGTGGTAATTAATGGAATCCGGACCCCGTACGTAAAGGTTACTTCTGGTGCCCCTTGGAGACTGGTGGTTGGACCGCCCTTGTTTTTAATTTTTCTTAACGATATAGTTGGAAAGGATTTCTATAACGAAAGATTATATGCCAATGACTGCGCTCTATGCAGAGACGTCGCTTGCTACACTGACATGTTTTCTCTCAAAGCGACTTAGATAAGATTGAGGCTTGGTGTTCTAAATGGACTATGTTCTTAAATCTACCGAAACGTATTCACACCCGGTTTATTTGGAAAACTCATTTTGTTTGCCTCATACTCTATTAGTGCGTCGCCGGTCAAACTTTTAACCGACGGTAAAGATCTGGGAGTTGTTTTTTCATCAGTTTTAAATTGGAGCAAACATGTTGACTACATCCCTACAAAAACTAGTCAGTTACTAGGTTTCATTAGACATAACCTTAGGGTGGCTTCATCATCCCTAAGAAAAACCTTGCATTTTTTCACATTCCGATTAATTCTTGAACATGAGTACTCAATATGGGACCCCTATAGGCTCAATTTGAATGATTAGATTGAAAACATTCAGAATCCCGCTGCAGGTTTGTTACGGGAAGTTATGGTTTCAGATTAAGTGTTACTGAACTTACGTCGTCTCTGGGTTGGAGGCCTCTGAGTCAAAGACGTCAGTGCCTCCGTTTGAGACTTTTATTTAACATTTTTCACAAAAAAACTTGTATCTCTATATCAACAGAACTCCTTCAACCTGCTTACTTGTCTCCCAGAAAAAAAAATTCAAAGACAATTTGTCCATATAAATGTAGAACTGATGTTTCTAAGTGTTATTTTTTTCCGCTGTCAATTGATGTCGGGCATAAATTACCTACAAGGTTCTAGACATTTCAAAGTAGGAGCCATTTTTTGACAAAGTCCAGTTGTTTGTTTAAATCTCATATTGAAGTGTCTCTAAGATTTTTTTTTCTGGTATAACGACATCTTATATTTGTTATAATTTTGATAATGTATACTGTTTTTGTGGGCCCCTCTACTGTAATGCCTTTTTAGGCATTGTAGGCAATCAAATAAATAAATAAATAAATAAATAAATAAATACACATTTTATGACAGTGCCTTTGCCAGGGTCATCGGGGCTCCCCGTTGCAACAGGTGCGAGCGGCCGCAGAACTCTCTTTAGTGCTTGTTTTTTTTTTTTTTTTTCGGGGTGTGGGGTAGGGGGGAGTCACTTGTTTCCTTCCTTTTTCGCGGCTTTCGACAGCCTAAACTGCCAGTGCAGCTGTGCAAAAAACTGCCGAACGATAAAACGCTAGTAAAGCTCCGTAGTTCGATATCTGGCCTGAACAGCGTTTATTTAGTCTTACTCGGATCCTGCATGCAGTGAAGTCGACTGCAAATTAACTAGAGTTAATTTTCATATAAGCCTGTTACGAAGCATTGAAGTGTACTCCAGCAGCATGGTGCCCTCTACAGCGCTCCTGCTTTCTGCCACTGCGTGCATCTTCTCCGCTTCCCTTCAGCTTGCTTCGGCAGGTGAGGCTAAAATATATTAGGCTGCTAAATGAACATTGTAGACAAATAGCTATTAATGCTGAAAGTCAAGAGCATTATTAATTAAATATGTTGAAAAACAATTCAGCGAAAACACGGCCTTGTTGAGGTTGCGCTGGTAATATTATGTTGCAAATAATTATCAAAAATGCTTGATGCACATCGAGCTGCTTCAATCTGTATAAGAACTGTTGCCAAAAACCTTCGTCCTGAATAAAAAAAAACTGAATTTATGGGTTTAAGATTATACTCTCAAGTTCGGTTACTGTTTAGATTCAGTTGTAATTTATCAACTAGACGGGTCTTGCCGTGTGGCACCAAGAGTTACATATGGTGTTTGTATGTTACTGGTATTCTGGTTCCGCAGTGGTTATGGCGCAAGTGGTTATGGCGTTGATCGCTTCTCTCAATGTGCTACTTTATACTGTGGTTTATTTTCTTGCGATATAAACGCTAATAGTTTTAAATCGTCTACAGTTTCCTCTATATTCTCCCACCGTGCTCCGGGCTGGAAATAGCCTGCAGTATATTGTAAATACTTAAATACACACAAACCGTAAACAAAAACTCAAGATCGTTTCTTAGGCAAAGAGATAAGTTTACACATCATTAGCTATGTTACAAAGGCCTAAATATAATCAGGGGTGCCTGGACGTTTCTTAAAAGAGGTCTAAATTGTAAATGTTTATAAAACATAGGTCAAACTGTCAACAGAAATATGGTTTCAAAGGCTAACCCGGAAGCCACAGAAACATTTGTAGAGAGACGGCTGGACCGGAAGAAAGTTGTTATTTTCTTTACCATCTCCCATTACTTTGGCTACATGTGGAGGGAAATAATGTGACATTTTCTATGTTTCACACAAAACGCCGTTCAACAAAGGTCTGCATGACAGAAGCGGCGTGCGTGATTACAAACGCACAATAAGAAAAAAGAAGTAATGCCTTGAACAATAACGTGTGGTGCATGTGCGCTCTGTGAAATCATTTCTTGTTTTTCCAAAAAATAGAGCCGTTAGAAATTTTATTTTTTATTATGCCACTGAGCGCGGTATGTGTCATAACACTTTCTTTTCTTTTTGTCTTTCAGAGAGTTGCTCCAAGCTTGATTTTCCAACGTCATATGGGATTTTCGAAGCAAGCTTTTTTACTTTATTTCGAGTTTGCTAGTTAAATGCTCGACAAAAAGCTTAGACAGAACAAACATCTTAAACTTCTTTATTTGTTTACTTTTATTGAACTTTAATTGTGGCTACCGAGGAACGGCAGGAACTTCACAAAGACTTGATGGCTTCTGCTTAACATAAAACAAATGTTAACATATATTTTAAAAACAAATTGAGCGCTATGCCCAGCGTGCACGTGAGCAGGCTCACAAGGATGGGACTGGGCAAAGCAGCTTTGGAGAAATCTTGGGAGCAGAATAAACTGCAGTTTGGAGCAGGCGGGGAGTAACAAAAACGAGCTATTGGAGCAAGTTAGGAGCAACCCACGAGTTTTAAAAACGTTAAAATAGAGGCTAAAAGTTACCTGGTTTTCGAAACTAAAGAAAATTTGGCATGCAGATAACTTTATATGAACTGAACATTAGTTTTAATGAAGATTCGTTTTAAAACGTTTGTTACAAGATTACATAAAAATTACACAAAAAATAAAGCAAATCTGCATCATAGTGTGATATTCGATGGAATCGACTGTTCATAAAAAGTCATAAACACACAGGAACAAAGCTTTCAGCTCGTACCTTGCTTCGTCATACACAACACTGCTCGCTCGCCTTTGTTACCAAGCGTTCTGCACGGGGCTGCGGGCGGGCCAACGGTTGCTGCGGCCTTGCAATAGTCACACATGTACAACCAAGAAGGAGCCGCGCCATCATAAATACATTTAATTGCATCGCAATATGGCGACGCTGTTTTCTTCACTATTCAGAAGAAGTGTCTCCGGGGCTCAAGAAAAGCGTGCACCAACCGCGGCTAACGTTGGCGGCAACAACCGTCGGATACAGAGCTTCGGATTCGGATTCAAATCCACTTGCGCGTCTTCTTTGGGCCGGAAGTTCTGGTGTCAATATAGCGAACGGAAACTGCGAGGCGGTTAATTTCAGAGAGGCTCGTTGATAATTTCAGTTTTTGCACACCTTGTCACAATTTCGTTCTTACTTATACTTTTGTACCAGTGTGGTGCATGAAAAGTCGTAAGGCGCACAATGGTGCAATTGACGTAGCAATTTTATCCCTGAGGCTTCCCAAGTAGCACACTTCCTCGGCCCAGGCTTGGGCCAGATTGGCGCGAGCTAGAGCCAACGTGGCTCGAGCCTGGCACAAGCTTGCGCCAAACTGGGCTAAGTTTGAGCCGGGGAAGTGTGTTGTTAGGGTTACCACCTTTGTCTTTCTCACTTGCCCTTGACCAGTTTTTTCTAGATGTTCAACAAAACTCTCCAGGAAACGTTAATATAAGTTTTTCTTTAGTGTTGAATAAATAACGATGAAGAAGTTGCCCCAGTTCTACCTTGCAACAGAGACGATTACCTATCGTTGCCCTAACGAATCAGACTACCCGTCCAGCAAACCGAACTCTTGAACGACTCATATACGACTTATTTTTCCGACTTGCGAAGTGGAGCTATTTCGTGGCAGCGTCGCGTTGTTTACAATTTCGTTGCCCGTTATACAAACCCACACGATGAAGCTCAATTTCTAATACACTGGTGTATGCAAGTGGAAATATTTTTGTGTAGCAAGAAACAACCAAGGTATTTACATAACGTAAGAGTGCTTTTAATTCTAACTTCTGTTTCGTTTCTTTCCAGCCAAAATTCGTTTACAACCCACAGTTTATTAGACAGAGAAGTGTTTAGTTTAATCTCATTACTTTTTCTATTGCAACTAGCACAGATTAAAATCATTATGCTTTATTAACAAATAAATAATAGAGTTTATAGAAGGCACGCTTATATCATCGTCTGTCTCACCGCACTGGGAGTTCTTACTGACAGGTATGAAGCATTGTCGATTGTGCTTTTCAAACAAATAATTGGGGATAAAAAAATTTGACTTACATGCTCAAAGCATGTGAAGTCTATTGGCCGGAAATTTTGAATGCACATTGCCTTTTTTTCGCGTCGTAATTCACTTTCTATGGTTCATACATTTCTGTTATAAATTTCATAACCGGATATGCATATGCATGGGGAGTTATAAGTGCACGACCCCACGTTAAAACTGTACTTCAAACCGGTTTGAACTGTCGCTAAAACTTCAGGATGTGGGCTATAAAACCATTGAAACTTCGTACAACTATAAACATAAAGTGTATGGCGGCGTTTAAGGTCAGACGGATGAATTTTGTATTATGAAAGATCAAATGTGTTTTTTCCGACGCACGTGATTGCTGTTAACAGTATCTTATATTTTCGCCGGGATAACTTTCCGCAAGGCTGTCTCTGGTGCACGCAAAACAAATCATGATCATTTTTTGCAAGCGTTATGGTTTGATTTACAGAAATATTAAAATTATATAGCTTTTTAATTATGTGAGTCTACAAGAAAATATTTATTTTATACACTCAGACGTTTAAAGGGTGCCTGTTGGATAAATAAAGCCATCAATGTTTTAGACTCGGATGACAATAGAGGGGGGGGGGGGGGGAGGGCAGTCACGATAAGTTCACCAAATTAACTTAAATTGCTTCAGTAACCTTTAGTAGGTTGTTAAGTGCGACAATGCATTTGAGCTTTTTAAGGTTGTATTTAGTGGAATATAAGAAAAAAAAACAAAAAAAACCTTGTAGGGGAAGAGGCCACATATACTTTGATGTATTCATTGATTCGTTTTCGCATTGTGGGTGTTGCCTCTGTGGGCAGCGCCTCGGTTCCTGCAGAAACAATGATGCGCAGAAGAGTGACGTGCTCTTTTTTGATACTTCACTGTTATCTCGGCAGCGTGCCTGTGATAAACCGGGCGGCAAAGAAAAGCTCACCAAAAAAGCGGCACATGGAGAAAAAAGCTCACCGGGCTTTGAGTTGATGCGAAGAAAAGCTCACCGATTTTTTTTCTTAGCTTAGCGGAATATGCTTCACACGTGACATTTTACACGCAATTAGAATTCGCCACTTCATTCAAAATATTGTCCTCTTTTTCGTAATAGTCCTGAAGTTCATTGGACATATTTACTAATTCCTCGGAAATTAGTAATCACCTTGTCTGTATATAAATGACGCCGCGAGTATAATATCAAAACATCGGGCACCCATAAAAAATACAAGTTATTGGCAGCTTAAAAGTGCGCCGTCAGTAGCTCTGTCAGATAAAGATGTTTTTTTTTTTTTGGTTTCCAAGCTAATATGTATAGCGGTGTGTCAACCGTGTCAGCTCTGAAGATTGTATGGTGCCTAATAGATAAGTAGGGGTTGATGCAATGCGTATGGGCTACGCTGTTTTCTTTCTGTTATTTTGATTCATAAAACTTTAGTTGAGCAGCATCGTCCTATCGTGTTTGTTGGTTTCACTCCGTCTTCGTTGCTTTAGCGGTTTTCATTATGTATAACGTTTACTAACTCGTCCAATTCGCTGCCTCACTGAAGAGTGGTTCTTTCAAAGGTAACGAGCAAGAACGGTGACAGTGTCCAGCTCTAAAGATCACGAAGGGTTTGCTGCAAAAGAGCACTAACACAAAAAAAAAATGCCCAGAGAAATGAACATGAACGGCTAGAAACCGTCGATGGTCGTGGAAGAAAGGAACCTCGATATCCTGCAGATCGTTTTATCTTGTTTTCAATAGTTAACAAAAGCATCAAAGACATTTTCGGGCACCGCGTTTTCGCGCATACGAGTTCTGATTTTCGGCATTTACAGTGTTGCTTTTTAGGTTTAAGACAGACAATATTAAGTTTTAGAACTTTTTTCTGTTTTTCGAATTGGGCACCGCGTTTTTGCTCATGCGAGTTCAGATTTTCGGCATTTACATTTTTGCATTTTAGGTTTTAGGCAGACATTATTAAGTTTTCAAACTTTTTTCTTTTAAGTTAGGCCTTCGTTTCCTAGAGAATAAACCACAAAAACACTCGTCCGCAATTAATATTAATGAGCAATATACGCAATAAGCTTAACGAATATTACAAAAAGAAACATTTTCTTTTTTTACAAAGCTGACGACTATTCATGATAATAAATTGATATCTTTTACGCATGATTCAACAGCCTCCCATAAATAGAAGAAATAAAAACGGTAAGCTTTTCCCTTCATTTGATCGATGGCCGGTGAGCTTTTCACAGCATCCGCCACTTTCGCGGTACGCTTTTGTCCGGTGAGCTATTCTCCGGTGAGCTATTCGCCGGTGAGCGTTTCTCCGCTGAGCTTTTGTCTGGTGAACTTTTCTCCGGAATTCGATAAACCGGTCAATGGCATGCTATCGAGGTAAAGACGAGCTGGCCGAAACCAGCAAACGAGCAGGCTGATCTTCTAAGAGCCATTATGGACAGAGCCTGTGCACTTTCCGGCATTTAGTTTCGGAATCAGGCGATAATCGACGAGTACTTCAAAACTAGATGCCTTAGTTTAAATTTATTAAAGCTCTAATATTGACCGCACTTACAACTGCCATTGAAACGTCAAGGAATGAAGCATTAATTAAAAACTTAATTTTCAGACATAAGGTGAGTAGTAATTTTAGAGTGTCAATTATCATGTTATCGAATGTCCGCCAAGTTTGATCAAACTGTGAAACAACCATCGTGTATTCAGGCGTCAAAGTCTAGTATTCGTATCCCTAGAATCTCAGTCTATTTATGCACCACATATGGTCCTGCTCATAGGGTACAAGAGGGGGGGAGGGGGGTACCGTTATCTAATTTGTTTTGTTTTTCGGCCATTCCAGTGTGCTGGCAAAGATATCAATCTTTGTGCATTGTTCGATTTTACTGTGAGTACTGAAGTGCAACATCGCAATTTTTAATAATCAAATGATCGGATGCACTAGAAAAGACCCGTTCGTAGGCTCAGTAATCTATTGGGACATTCTTACATAATCAATTTTAAAAATAATAACTTGAATATGAATTACAACCGCACGAAAATAACTTTTGAAAAGTCTATGTTCCTTTAGAATAGAAAATGTATTTAATTTATCCAATACACACGAAAAAATTGAGCTTGTGTATCTGATTTGCTTCGCTGCAGACTGCATTGAAATGCGACAGCATTGCATGTCTTATATGAAGGCTATATTTCGTTGGTTAAAATCCAAAGTATCCTCTATTGGGCGACAAACTGAGATGTTTCAGTGAAAAGACTAAGTACGCGCGTGAGCTGTTGGTAGGTAATTATGTCGGTTTACACCTAAGACTGTTGGTGCAGAAAGGGGGAAAAATGATTCAAAGAAATAGACACAGAATGGAACGTCTCAAACACAGCAAATTGGTTTATTTCTCAAGCGTCATATCTATCTATCTATCTATCTATATATATATATATATCTATATATATATATATATATATATATATATATATATCTATATATATATATATATATATATATATATATATATATATATATATATATACCCACACAGACACTCTCAACCACCTTCTACGCAGAAATCTTCTTTATTCGAAAACCTTTTCAAATTCAAAGAAACTATAGATTCACAAGATACCAAGCGGTCCAATCCACAGTACCATAATTCTCGAACACCTTTTCCGCACATATCGCATTTGTTGAAAGCATTTTGAAAAACAGATAAAATATACAGTTCCAAGAGACTGCGCAGTCAATTAAGCAGTGCAATGCCCTAATCATCAATGACGGCAGAAGAGGGTTCCGGGACTTTTTCTTTCTCTAAAAAAAAAAAGGAAATTCTAAGTTGTTGTCACCTAATCCGGCCAATTCGTCGACAGCCCACTGGTCGACAAAAAACTCATACAAAGGACAATTCGTCGAATAGGGCAATTCGCTCTAGGCCAATTCGCAGAGCGGAAAATTGAGCGAGATTGCCCGTTCGTCGAACAAGGTCGAACGGTCGAAAATAATTGCACAGGGTCTCTAGATTTACCCGCGGACGTTGGGGGTCAACAATGGGACGCTGTTTGCCAAGAATAAAGGATTACAAATTCAGTTATCAGAATTTACAAGGGTCCGGTAGTAATTCGTGAAAATTCGGGTAGTTCAAAAATATAAAAGCCGGCCTCTGCGTAAAGACGTTCACTCGACTCTATCATCAAAGAATTGGCGAAGACCGAGCGAGGAGCTTGTATTCTGATCCTGGATGGTCATATATACACTTGCAATACGCGTCCAGCCAACACCACCTTGCTTTTGGTACAGCCACCATGGCGTACTGGATATGTCAGCAAAGGAAAATCTGCAAGGCTACGTTGGCTAACAACTTCGAAGGCACGCCTATTGCAAGAAGATAATACCTGTTTTCGCAATTATTCTTTCTACAACTTTGTAAAGACAACAATTTAACATGGCAAGAAAAGGCTCACTTGCAATTATTCTTTTTGACCTACATAATTTGTTAGCGACATTATTTAGTCACAAATTTACAAAAATGCAACACCGAGGAAGCAGTTTACGTTTGCAAACCGTCGCTCTTTTTCTCAATGTCAATATTCATATTTACATTTGCAAATCAGCGAATCGTGGTGAGATTTTTTTCACGGCTCAAAAGTACATCACTCCAACTTTGTTGTAGTTATTTCCACGAATATTTTTGAGAATGGAGCGCTTCGACAACTTTCCCATTCGACGAATTCGTCTAATGTGAATTGCCTCATTCGACGAATTATTCGTCTACAACTTGTCCATCGAAAAATTCGTTTACAACCTGAGGAACTTTTTGCCGTGGCTTCTAAGTTGCATCGAGGTTTGCCTTATGCATTTTCCGACAGACTATTCACGGCTCTCTTTCTATCATTCCGCTTTTTATGTAGAAGTTCCGTCTCTGACCAGTACGCAGTAGAATGGCTGCATTCCTGAATGTTCTTGGCAGTTCCTAAGTTCAGACGCATTTGTGCTTACATTTCTATTACGTTATAACCGGGAACCGGCCCACTTGTCACAATCCCACTCGTCACCGGAAAACTTGTCACAGGAAAACTGGTCACACCAGCCCTCTCGTACGAGGTCCTTTCGTCACAGGAATACTCGTCGAGGGGGGTGATTTGTCACCAGAACACTGGTTGCAAGGTTGGCCTCGTATCAGAGAGAATACGCCTGACCTTGTTTCACAAAAATAGACTAGAATCCGGTGTCCTGGTGTGGAAAACGTTTGTTTTATTTTTTCTCCTTTGGTTACACAAAGGAAAAGGATCCAGTACCGGCGTGTAACTAAAGGACCCCGACCTGTGGTCTTTAGAAATGGGATAGCCATGCTTGACTAATCATGCTTTGTCTAACAAGAGAACTTCGGACCCGGATTTTTGAGCAGTTCCGCCAGTGCAGCTTTTTTTTATAACGCGGGCTACATAAAAGCTACACTCTACAAATTTCAGGTCTCTGCTCGGGGCATGGAGAGTATGGAAGTAATGAAAACGCAGCTTGGGACTCCGTTCATTGCTACTCTACGAGGGTTTTTTATATACAGTTAGCAGAAGATGCGGTGCTGGTATTTACTGGGTATTTCGGGATCGCACTATCAGCAAGGCGAAGACTACTGACGAGTCCATTAGTGCTGTAGTGGTCGTATCTGGGACTTATGCTGGGGATCAAACTGAGACGAACATACTGAGAGTCCGTCAGAACATGAAGAGAAGATCAGGTAAGATATATTGTATTTTGGAAAGTGGCAGTGTAGTTTCTAAACCTTTTTTTTTGTGCGCTATTCTATTGCAGAGAATCAAAGGGACACACCACACTGGATCCTATTCGATGCCACTGCTACTGTGAGTGGCCATGCGACTTCCCAGATGCTTTCGCAAAGCACGCTGAAACGTATCATTCGAAAGCAAAGAGAAGCACGCCAAAATCAATACGTTCCTCCAAAACTGCGAGAGGACATAATTCTACCCAGAGGAGTACAAGGTAATTCAAGTCTTTGTACCATAAATTCCTACTGAACAACCAGTTCATCAATTAGGAGCAATACGATTTATGTCTTTGCTATGTGTCTAGGATACACGACGAGCCCTTTCTTGCTCATGAGAGCGGTTCTGGAGACAAGGACCGTCTTCCAGTTTTCGGCACAGCAAAAATATTTGAGCGCCTTTCTACTACGAGGGCGTGGTTCATGGACGTGACCGTCCAGGTGACGCCGTCGCTATTCTACCAAGTGTACACGGTGCATATGCTGTAGCATAATGCTGTTACCCCGGTTCTGTACGCTAAGCTTCCGAACAACGAGTAAACCTACCGGCGGTAAGCTTCGTTGTGAATATTGCGTAGTTCGAGTTTTCGTATGGCGCAAACTATAGCATCAGTTTCATTTAGTTTTCAGACTTTTTTTCAGATGTGGAAGCTGATGTCAGATATGGAAGTTGATATAATCTACTGCGACTTCGAGGTGGCCGTGATCGCCGTGTGTCGCAGGCATTTCTCTCAAGCGTGGGTTCAACGATATTTTTCTTCGTCTGTGCCAATCGGTATACCAGAAGCTGTGCAAGTTGAGCATGCAAGCGGGCTGCTGTTAAGACGAAGATTTTGATGTTCAGTTAATTACGTGCTATTTACAAAGCTTGAAAGTAAGCCATAAGTGTACTGATACTCTAATTTTTATTCGGCTTACCATGTCATGAAGCCTCCCAGAAAAATGCTTTCCTCGTTTTGAACGTCATATGCTGTAGTATATTTTCCTAAATTCATAGTATTACCAAGCGCGATCGCCAGAAGAAACTTTAAACGCCGATTTTTTTTTATTATTTTAATAACTCTCCTACGCGTTCTCATTACTTATTTCATTTAATCAGTACGGTTCATCCATTTGCATATTTGGATTATTATCGTACAGCGTACATCTGGTGCATAAACAGCCAGTTGTGTCGAGGCCTACTTTCTTCACGTGCAAAAAAAAAGGAGTTATAGAAAACATATGATCACAGAATAACAAAGATGCATGTAAACCAATACAATCTTCCATCGACGTATGTGCCAATAAGTATTGTCTTTTCTAGTTGCGAATGTTACCCACGTTGTCTTTCCTGCCACCTGCCGAGGTTCCAGATGCGTTTGACGAGCTTCTCGAGGTCCTTTCTAGTGAGGAAACCAATCTGGCCATGTACTTTAAAGACACCAGCGTTGGTCGCTGAAAGCGCACTGGAGTTCAAACAGCCTTGTTCCCACGAAGCCTATGGTCCGTCCACGATGTCATGCAGCAAGATATGCCACGCACGAACAACGCCGTTGAAGCCTGATATTGAGCCTTCCCGGTGCGTTACAGTTGCTTTGGACGTGACTGTTTTAATAGGCTAGAGTTTGTATTTCTTGTCACATTTTGCGTTGATTTGCACTTTTTTTTTGTTGTTTCTGGCTACAGTTTAACGTCGTTTAACTTCAAAACCTCTGGGCCTTCCTGAGGTGTCTGAACGATGAACAAGCACAAGAACGTAAATTGGCCCAGCTAAACGCGGGACAACCGCCGCCACGTCTCGAAAAGAAAAACAAAGATATGAGTGAGCGCATATCTCAAGTTCTAAAGGAGCACTTCACCGGATCTGCTCTCTGCACGCTGCGAAATATTGCTAAGAATATCCGGTTTTGAGTTCCATGCTGTAACGGCCCGTGTGAACCCAATAAAATTGCATTTCTCGTGTGTTTTTTTGTGAACCATGTCGTGGTATCTAGTCATATTTCTTGCAATTGAAGTGCCCTTTTTTTATCACAGCTGCCGACACGGTGCGTTAAAGAATTTTTAAGAATAAACTGAAGTAAATTCTTAGTGTCAAACTTCATACCGTGACACGAGTGTTCCTTGTGACGATTATTTCGGCGTGACGACAATTCTTCGTACGAGATGCCCTATGGCGAGTTGGCCTCCGTGACCAGTTCTCATAGACCCGTTCCAATAACTTGTCGTTAACGCTTCTCGAAGTTCGTCCCACGTATGTGAACGTGCATGCTAAGGGTATGTCGTACACTCCACTTTCTACGCAAGGAACTGAAAGTTTTCATTGAGCCTTTTGCCAGTCTCTATAGTTTGCCTGAAACGGCTTCAACCTGCTAATTTTAAAATCTCAGGAAAATACTACGTCTACCTCAATCATTTTGCCTCAAGCCGTTCTGTTATGGGAGATCCCGCGTAAATAAAAAAACACTCCTCTCTTCTCGCTTGTTTTTTCCTTTTGCTGATGGCCATTTGTGAACATCATTTCCATTGGCCTTTTTACGAATACGTTTTCAAATTCTGCATGTTCTAGCCTCATTCATTATCCCTTTACCTCATTGATAATAGAATGAGTGCACGGTTCGAGAAGCTCGTTTGTTATTAAGGATTCCCCAACCCCTGATTTTACCGATTTAGCGCGACAATTTCTTTTACTTTATACTGGTTTTGTATCTTTTTTTTTTCCGTACTCCCAGCTGAGACTCTTTTCTCCATCTATGCGTAAACCTGAAAAATCTAGGATCCAATCTTCAGGTTGTTTCGCTGTATATGAAGAATATATAAAGAATAATTAATAAAAAGGCTATTGAAATTAAAGCTTAAAGATGGTCATTGGCAAAAGGAACACACGAAAGAGAAGATAGCAGCGATCTTGCTTTTCCACGGGGTTTCCCAATATCTAAAGGCTTTCGCCAAAAAGTTTGGAGTAAACGTAGTATTCTCCTACAATTTCAAAATAAGCAGGTTGACGCCGTTTTGGTCAAACCATAGAGGCTGCCAGAATGCTCATCGGGAACCCTTGGATCCTTGCGCATAGAGTGTGGTGTATGAGATACCTTTAGCATTCAGGTCCAAGTACGTGCAGCGAAACTTGAGATGTGTTAACGATAGGTTATTAGAACATAAGAGAAATGTAAGTACAAATGTGCCTAACTCAGAAATCGGAAAGCACATTCAGGAATGCAGCAATCGTACTGCGTACGATTGCTGCATTCCTACACAATAGAGCGGAACAGTATAAAAAGAGTCGCTACAAACAATAATGATAAAGTCTATATTACACTGCATAAGCCAAGCCTCGACTTGGAACTTGGAAGCCACAGCAAAAAGTTCCTAAGATTATAAACAACACCTTACAGTTTCCTTGTTTTATAGATAGAAAGAGAAAGATACTCGTAGTGGTGTTAATAATTAGGAAGCTTTGCCTGGTAGGGGCACAAAGCGCAGCAGTCACCTTGTTCCTGAGATCGCCCAGATGTAGGTCCCCGAACCCTCTCCCGTCGTCATTGATGGTAAGGGCATATTGTATCGTGGGTTTCACTGCGTGGTCTCTTGTAAGCGTATATCTTATCTGTTTCTGAAAATGCTTTCAACAAATTAGTTTTTTGCGTAGAAGGTGGTTAACAATGATGGTATTGCAGGCTGGACGGTTTGGTCTCTTGTGAATGTGAATGTCCTTCGTATTTGAAAATGATTTCAGCAAAGGAGATATCTGCGTAGAAAGCGGTTGAGAGTGGCGGTGTGGATATATATAGGATGTTTGAGAAATAAACCAGCTATAGCTGAGTCTAAGACATTCCCTTATGTGTCTGTTTCTTCGTCTTTTTTTCCTCCACCCCAGCCTCAAATGTTAAACGACATGATTAGACATGATCTCATCTCGGCTTCTTTTTGCGTGAATGGATCACTGAATATTTATTTAGACAGCCGTGTCGGAAAAGGTCAAGCAAAGGGCAGTCAAAGCTAGCTGTCGAGGCTCCGTTCACCTTTCCAGTACTGCAACGGTGGCATGATAAAATAACATTAAATGGCGCACTTAAAATAATGCATTAATTTATGCACGCAACTTAAAGGAATTAAAACTCTACAACTTGACCATACATTCTACATAAATTGAGCGGATTCAGTGATCGCAGAGACTATTATCGAAGATAATAAAAAACAGAACATATAGTTAAGTATTTGCAACCATACGACTTTCCGTGCAGCAGAACAAGCCCGTCTTACTTCTCTATTCTTAGCCAGACTTTGCGGCCTTTCTCAGAAGGTCGCTGTCTTGCTTCGGCTATTTCTTTTTGAGTAGTCTCCTCTCCTTTGACATGCTTTGCGAAGATTTCGGCACATCACTAGTGAGTGTGTCGTTTCACGACCAACGAATAAACGCCAAAAACTGAGAGGAAATCGGCACATGCACTGCGCAACAAAAGGAAATAGACCAGCGGAGCACGTGGCCTCACTAGAGTTTCAGCTTCAGCTTTAAGAGCCTATATAGTTACTCTAGCGTATACGGCTAGCATATACAGTTATTCAACACTAGGGTAATCATGTGGCTCTGCAATTTAGTTACTCTAGGAATCTCTAAAATAATTGTATACACGAGGCCACACGCTCCCCTGGTTCATTTTGTTTCGTTGAGTACGGCGCGACATTCTGCAGCACGTGCCTTTGCGTTTTTATGTTACGACCGACAATTTTGAAGGAGGGGGGGGGGGGGGGGCTTTAAAACTGCTACAGCGTTTCCTCTACTAATGCCAACTTTATGTTGAAGTACAGTAACGGACGAACTGAAAAAACACAGGCGAGCGCATTGCTCCGAAGACCTCGTGTGTTATCTAACGGATGAAAGCTGAGCTATCCATCGAGGCTAAACTTTAAATGATTGACATTTATAGATATTTTTAGATATCGATATTTACCTTTACTCCCCCCTTTATCGGCAAACTATTTCCGAATGAACACCGATAGTAATAGTGCTCAGTGAATTAAAATTAAAAAAAAAGCTTATCGTCTTTCAAATTGCGAACTTATTAGGTAATGCCCGAAAGCTGATCGCTCAGCCTGCCGAGCCGGAAGTTTAAGCCCCGCCAGATCTTGCCGTTTGTCGGAGTGCGCCTCTGAATTCGGAGCTAAGAACGGCGTTATCTCAGCAACAGCTGATCAAACAGGGGGTGACGACGAACGGTGAATAGCCGCGGAAGCCCTCGATAATGATTGAGCTTTCTTCTGATAGGTAGCGCGGTATGCTTTCTAAGCCACGCACTGCTCTTTATATCGTCCACGACAGTACATTCAGCTTCATTAGGTTCGTATCATTCGATATATTCTAGAAAACTAAATATAATTACCACGCAAATCTAACGAGCTTGTTAAACTAACATGGTGTTAATTTTTTTCAGAAACTCCGAAATATGAACAAGCTTGTTGATGTGAGTGATCACCGCGGGTTCAAGTATATCCGCAACATATGAAATACAATCACACGTAGATGTTAAGCTTTCAGTACGTTTTACACAAGTATTTAAAATTGACTGTATCTTTTTAGGGATACTTATGGATTGACGACGACTTGTTTGTTTTAGTGATGATTCGATAAAATAACAAACCGTAGATTCTTGAGGTTAACAATCCCCGTAGTAGGGGAACAAGGGGTCAAAGGACAAACAGAAATCTCCGAACCCAGTTAGGCGACTTGTACGCGCTTGAAAATATCCACCTGCTCCTGGTATCAAACCAGAGACCTCTCCAATTTTAGCGGAGAGCTCTACCAGCTGAGCTAACCCGAAGTTAGACGTCAGTAGAACAAACGGGTTTTAACAGCTGCCACTAGCCTAACACCAAAAAGGGTGAACGGCCTGCATTTTAGAGTTATGATGATGATGCATTAATGCAAGGGTGCAAGCGAGCTGGACAAGAATGACGAAACTCCCTGAAAAGACAAATGTAAATCTTCAAACACAGCTAGGTGACTGGTGCGCGACTGAAGAAATCCGCCTGGTCCGGGTATCGAACCAGGGCCTCCCCATTTCCAATGGAACGCTGGTTCGGTACAAGGAGCAGGCGTGTTTTTTTAGTTGCGGACTAGTCACCTAGCTGTGTTTGGAGATTTGTGTTGGTTTTTTGTTGCCCTCCCCCCCCCCCCCCCCTGCAAAGATTATTATGGTCAGTCTTGCCCCGCTCGCTCTGGCACCTTTGCATTAATCTCATTCAGTGCTGGCGGTAACGCGTTACAAGTAACGGCGTTACCGGTAACGCGTTACTTTTTTCGGTAACGTAGTAACGTACTTGTTACTTTTCCAAAGACGTAACGGGTAACGTACTTAAGTTACTTATTTTGAGTAACGTCTAACGAATTTACTTCCTAAAACTTAAAAAGAATTTTTTTTTTAAGTGCCCAGTTATAAATTTTTTAGTCAAAAAATGCCGCTGTCCTCCACTTTTCTTTTACGTCGGTGCTCGTCAGATTTGACGTCACACGCCACCTGCCACTGGTTTTCTCTCGCGACTCGTTCACCTCACTACCGCCGTCGCCTCGGCTAGAAGGCCAAAGAGGTCCGGCTTCGGGTGGATTTGGGAGATTCCCGCGTCGAAGCCTACGTTTCGCTTCCCGCTGGGAAAGAGAATGACACCTTAATGTCATTCCCTTTCCCGTTTTCTATGTTAAAAATCAGCTTCATATATACTTCCGCGTTTTTTTTTTTTGTAACTATACGGGTGAAACCCTAAAAAAGAGAGGGTAATTAATTTTCCGCATGGACATATTTTAGCTATGGCGCTTACGCACATATCAAACGTCGAAACAGCAAATGTTTTAGTTCGTGAATAAAAAGTAACGCAACAGCAACGTGCGTTACTTTTTATCAGTAACGGTAACGGTAACGCGTTCCTTTTAGTTTGAGGTAACGTAGGTCGGTAACGCGTCACATTTATTTGCAAGTAACGAGTAACGTATTTAGTTACTTTTTTTTGGTAACGCATACAACACTGATCTCATTGTCGTCGTAGATTGTTCTCGTGAAAACTGGAAAGATAATGTTATTTTTACAAAACTTGAATGTATAAAACAGCGAGGACGGGAACAGGACATCTTTCAATTTAGCAACAGCATAGAATGGCACAACGATAAAACTGCCCTCCAAAGGTTTCAACGTTCTCAAAGAGAAAAATAAAGTAATTGTTATAAAGGAAAGGGAATTCACTATAAATAGGAAGGGAAGGGATTTTACTATAAATAAATAGCTCATATTGGTGCTGTCACCTCAAACATTGACATTGACCGGCTCGCAATGGCAATCTTTTTGGCTGGTTCCTATTTCAGCGGGACAAATAATTAAATTAGCCCTTTTTTGTGTTCTATCACTTGTTTTAAGTAATGCTCATAGCTGCAGTACTTTTGATTTCTTAACATAAGCCCAGGATTTGAGATACTTAATTAACAGTTAAATTTTAATAACATTAAAAATAAACTTGCGGTAGCTGTATGCATCACAATGATATCGCAGGCATATGCAAATGCCACTCCACCATTAATTTTTATTTACAGTGCACCATTAAAGGATTGACAAGCCTTGGCTACAATGGATATCTGTTCAGCAACCTCGAACCTTTGATTGCTGATATTTTTACTAACCTCGTAAATATATCTGGTAAAATACATATTTTTATCCTTCCTTCATTAATGCTGAAGCTGATATATCCTTTTTTATTAATTAATTACTTATTTATTAATTTACTCAAGATCCCGGAAAGGCCCTAGTTGAGGGCATTACATAGGGGCGGGTACATAACACGAGAGCATAAAACAGTAACAACGACATATGCGAATACATGGGGTGCTGCAATATAACGTGGTATCGCCACGAGCAACAGCAATGCACAAATTTGTCTGGGTACATGGGGAGCATAAGGGATGAACACATCGATACATGGAAACCAGAAAGCACAAGAGAAACAAATGGAGCGGCACATTGGGGATTAACATAATTGACAACAAAGAGCTTTGCGAAATGCGGTGGGATCCGTCTGGGTTACAATAAGGATGTCGTTCTAGTCTACAATAGTACGAGGGAAGAAGGAGAAGTTAAAATAGGTTGTGCTGCCTGAGATGCGGGAAACGTGACACGGGTTATTTAACCACGATGAAGATAGCCTGGGGTTAGGAGGAGATGGTCTCGGAGCGCAGGGAGGTTGTAGTAAATTTTGTGAAAGAGACAGAGTCGTACTATCTTCCGGCGGACGTTTATTAAAGGAAGGTTCATTTCAATTTTTAGGGCGGATACACTAACTGACCAATCATATTTCTTCAAAATAAACCTGGCAGTTCGTTTCTAGACTCCCTCGAGATGATTTAATAAGTATATTTAGTTAGGGCTCCAGATGGCCGCAGCATATTCCAATTTGGATCAAATGTATGCCCCATAAGCCCATCCTCGCATGAATGGGGAAGCCGATTTTAAGTTTCGCCTGATGTAACCGAGGCAGCGAGACGCCTCAGCGCACATAAGCTTGATGCGAGCGTTAAAGGTAAGATCGTTAGTTAGAGTCACTCCGAGGTATTTATAGGACGGGACGTCTTCGACCAGATTCTTTTCTAATGTTTACACGAGAACTGAGATCTTTGTCGCTTTCTTGAAAACTGGACTAACTTGCATTTTGCTTTGTTTAGTGTCATTAACTACCTTGTGAACCATGCCTGGATTCCGTCCAGGCTTCTGTGAAGTGGAAGATGGTCTTCAAAAGGAACTATCTTTCGAAATAGGACGCAGTCATCAGCGAAAAGGCGGATGTTAGAGGAAATTTCGTTTGGAATGGTCATTATTAAAGATCAGAAAAAGTAGGGGACCAAGAACCGAGCCCTGGGGAACTCCCGAGGTAACCAGAGCACGGGTGGATGAGTTTCAAATAATTGTGGTGATTTGAGTGCGAGAAGAGAGGAAATCCTGGATCCACGAGGGAATGAGAGGGTCACTTTCTTTCCGAGGCATGAAAGTTTTGCAAGCAGGAAACAGTAGGCAACGCGGTCAAACGCCTTCGAAAAGTCCAAAAATAGGCCATCAGTTTGGTGGTTAGATTCGAAATTAGTGTATAGCTCGTGGGTGAATCCCACGAGCTACTTCTCTCAGGACAGTTTTTTTACGAAAACCGTGTTGCTTGTTGTAAAAGCAGTTATTTCTCTCAAGATGAGATACATCGTTTGAGTAGATAATATGCTCTAGATGTTTTGAGGCTACGCAGGTTAGAGATATAGGGCGGTAATTCGAAGCCGAGAAACGATTCCCATTTTCAAAGACCGGAACGACCTTACCCAGTTTCCGGTCGGATGGTAGGTATTCCTGTAATAAGGACTGTGAGCATATTAAGTAGAGAAATTCGCTACATATTGCTTTGGTGTAGTGAAGAATTTCGGAGGTGATGTAGTCAGGTCCTCCAGAGAATGTCAATTTCAAGCTGTCAAGGAGTTTCGCTATTCCAGCTCATAAGATGTCAATATGTTCCAAACATTCGTACGGTAGTGCTGGTAATATATGGACGTCGGCGTCTTCTAATGTAAACAGAGACGAAAAATAGTCGTTAATACTGTGGCACAGCTAGTTTCAGATATTGGGGGCACGTCCTCATCGGTTAAGCGCGGTTAAGGTCGGAAGCGTGTGTCTCAAACTGTCGCGTGCGGCAATTCGGAGTGGCGTTCGGACTGTCGGATCGGACGTCGGATCGGACGATTCTGCCGTCCATGTGTCTCGCCCTTTAGCTGGATAGAGGAGGATGGAGGAGGAGTGAAAAGTAGGTAAACTACTTTTCATAGAGGTTACGCGAGCAGTGCATGGTGGTTGGCGACAATAACAAGAGTTAATTTGTTTGGAACGGTTTTAACCCAGTCCTGCTAACGACTTTTGCGCGATCCCAGAATGAATTAATGCAGTCCTACTACGCGTTAATTATAACTTTCTGAAAACAAACTCATTCGACACAAAGAACTATTAAGTCAAATTTCCGTTTAAGATAAACTAATATACAGCTAGCAATAGTGAATATATACTGCATATGTGTTTTTCTTTTATGAGAGGTATAATATTATGTGCACATTTAGATATTTGGAGCAAGGTATGTGTGGAGAAACGGAGGGAGAAAGGGAGACTAGTTCGTGAGGTGGACGTCAGAATGCCGAGCTCTGGTTGGAATGATTAGTGAGTAAGACCGAAAACTAGCTGCTTTCGTCTCTACTGCACTCATCGAACGCGTTCGAATGGGAGAGGCAAACGCTTGACGCCGGCGTTCCGCGATTTAACGTGTCCGAGGAGTTCAGTGGAGACCAAGGATGCTAGCCTTTAAGGTCTCGCCCACTTATCAATAAAAAAAAAAAGACGTCTTTCTGATGTCCCCGCGCTCTCGTCACCTTCTCTCCCTCACTTTCTTGGCGCATAGGCTTTAGATAAACCTGAAAGTGAAAATACGATTCGCAGAGATTTGTACACGCATATTTTTGCCTTTGTTTGTGCTAAGCCTAATAGGCGTATGACGTTAATGACAGACTAGAGTGCGAGGTGCCGTGATGAATGATCCTTACCCAACAAATCACGCAGTATTGCAGAGATCTGTCAGATAGAATTGGAAGCGCCGCCTCGGTGGCTCCGACAGAAAAAAAAAGAAAAAAAAAAAAAAGCTTGATGGCATTTACGAGGGTAAAGTGCCTGCTTACAGATTACCAGGTGGCGGGTTCAAATCCCGGCCGAGGTGCTCGCAATCGGACGGAGGCTCATGGCGGATAATGCGCCCTGTAACCTAGATTTCGGTTGCTCGACAGACGATCGCCACGTGTTCTAAATTAATCATTAGTCCTCCGTTGGGGAGTGCCAGATGCCCTGCGTTGAGGTGGCACGTAAAACCCCCAAATTTGACTTATCTTTTTTTTTTTTTTATTGAATTTTTTATGGTAAGGTCGTGGATATAAAATAAAAATTTTGCCAAGGTTCTTAAACGAACCACTGGAGAGCCCGGAAAGTGAAAGATGCAAAAACAGTGATTCTACTATTAACACCAATTAAACATTTGCCAGAGACGTAGAAGAAAGATAAAAGCTATAAGGGAATAGACGCCTCTGTATTAAGATTTTCATGTTTAGAAGTAAGAATTTGTAAAAGAATTTATTAAACGATTTTGAGAACTCACAAACATACAGGTCGCCTGCCATTTTAAATTTTAAGGCAGAAAATTTTGTGAATGAATAATAGAAACTGTGTTTTCTACAAAACACTTTCTTAAGATCAAGTTTGATAGGGTGGAAAATGTCTTCGATCCTAAAAAAATGCCACTGTGCGAGGGAACGACATATTCGGTGAGTTTAGAAGGTGCGCTGTTTATTGAAATTGGAAAGATAATTACGAGCGAACAGTTTATCATCAGCCTTGAATAAAATGCTATCTCCTAATCGGATAATTGGTCAAAAAGATATAACTTAACTGTTTAAAAGAATTAATAAAATAATTTCTTCAGTAACTGCTAGGCCATGAACTACAAATACGTGTGAATTTTACACAGATATCTGTTCCATCTATTTGTTTTAACTCTAGGTGCAGAGAAAAGTCTCGAAACTCTTGCTCATTACTGCGACACTCACCAAAACGAGAGCTTCTGCCAAGTTCCCGCACTTGCCAATGCAAAGTGCTCGACTCCCGTGAAAGTCAATGTGCCAAAGGATGCTAAAAAAGACGTAAGAATCGATAGTGTTTCATACCTTTTCCTCCGGGTCTTTAAAGCTGAACGCTATTTTTTATTATGATTAATGATGGTTTTGGTGGTATGCACATAAAACAGCCAAATAAATTCAATAAAATTATTGCCATATTTCGCCAACTTACTACTCTCTTAGGCTAGAAATAAAGGAAATTATTACAATAATATATATTTTTTGAGGAAATGATACTCTATACAAATTTTTGTTTTTGAGATTGTTCAAAGTTGCCATTGTGGTTTATTTGGGTTGAAAAAATAATGCGGTCCAGACGACATGTTTTTTTTAAATTATTTTTTTGTATCAAACTAAAGGTAAAGATCAAACGTTTTTGTCTATGGTGCCCAAAGTGAATACATTCCTCCCACTAGCACCTTCACGGTAGCATTAGGTGATTTACCAAAATGGGAGAAAACTCGGCTATCACTTGATTTGTTGTATCATGTTATAAACTGCTTTTAGAATGAAATATGCGAACTAATTAAATTTCGAGAGGTTTTCAAAAGGCCACCTTCCCAGAGTTATACGGTGACTTTTATATTTAACACTATGATGTAAATTATACGGCTACTTTCTTCTCACGCATTACTTTGATCTCTACGAGCAAATACGCAGGGACGCTCTCTAATATATTATGTAAATTAAAGCAACCGCAACCTAAGAATAATTGACACATGGCGGATATACAGGAGACTCCAAGGCTGGCGGAGTAAGAAAGGGGTTGTAGGATATTTTCCTCAATATTTTACAGTGTAGCCTGAACCCTTGCCAAGGAGAGGACGCTACCAGCGTAAGTACTTCTTTTCTGTTCCCTTTCAGTGGGCCATAAAATATTTCCAGGACGCTGAAGATTTCGAAAAATTTTAATCCAGAAATGTAAGGCTGTAGTCGTCGTCGTCTGGGCGAATGGGTGAAATAGTATTGAGTTCGAAATTCCTTAAACATGTATTTAACAAATTTCTAATTTTACTGGACACACTCAATGTAACTTACAGCATAGATCTGCAATGGAAGTGTACAATCTGGAACTTTTTTGTTTTTTGAGAGAAACTTTTACATTTGTTTCTACAGGTAATTATTTCAAGTTGCGAATGTAGAATTTTGAAAGTGATTATATTTAAATAATTTATAAAACAACGTGGCTAACTACACTTTCAGTATGCCCTACAAAACTAAGAACTTTTGTTTATGTCTTGCTATAATTTCTCAACTTCAGCATGGTCCAGATTCTCGCGTTGTATTATACTCCTTACACGACCGTATATGGTGATAAAGTTGAGGACAGTTCTTGGAAAATGAAATTTATCGGGTATTCAACATATTCAAGAAAACGAAGACATTGTTAAATTGTTGGTAAAAAACATTTTTTTGTAATCGTGAAGTTGCTTGAACGCACCGCACGGTTTATTTCAAAAGTAAACAGAACAGAGACGTAGAACAAATAACGATAACTTGAGAGACATGTATTTTACTCAGTCATTTAAAGCTCCTAAAGAAAATACTCTGCCACTTCTCATTGCAGCGACGCCTCGGAAGGAAATATTTTTAATTTTGTAATAGCTTGATATTGTTATACATGTTTTTTTTAACCAGGATAAAACATTGCGTTGCTGGTTGGTTTTTGAATAAAGTAAAAACTTACAACCATTCAAAATAAGATATTGTGGGAATATTCTTGTACGCTTAGGAAAGAATAGAATTTTATTTAGTTGGAACGTTTTGGAAGGACGTGCAGTTTTCAAAGGTATACGGAGAAACAAACACCACTATTTTAAAATCTTATTAAAAATCCTGTCCCTGTATATTTTTTGCAGGTCACCTTTGGGCAACAACCCACTTCTGTTATTCTGGTAAGAATTCGCACCCATGAAGCTTATTCCAGTTGCAAAGTAAAGAAAAAATGTCGATTACAAAGCAATTGCGAAAAAAGTAAATGGAAATGTAACGATTTGTAATTGATACCTTAAATATTTACAATAAACGCCACAGTCATGTTTCAAAGTTAAAATTTCGAGACTGTGAAACGTTTTATTAATATTTTACTGAATATTTTTCACATTTGAATGGTTTTTCGATATTTTTTTTATATCAGTATACATAAAACCATATGCTTGTACTGGCAGAGAGAATTATGCGCGAAGATTTTATGTTTGTTTGAACGGAAAAAGAAGAGAAAGCACAGCGTAAATTAGCCATTACAAAACTAAGCAATAAGTGACATCGGAAGGTTTAAAAGTTGAATGCTTCTTTAATCTTCATGTCTTTTTAGTTGGGAATGCAGAGAGCAGATATTTAACGTCTACAATTGAAATTTAATAAATCATATACGTTTCGTTGTATCAACGCTGGCGATCTTTGTCAGGAAATCGAGGAAATACTCTGCCCCGCTCAGTTTTTTTGCGTTATATTTATAGGTATGGTGGTGGTTTTTAGTACTTACCGAAACACGCCAGCCAGTCTGCCAAACCCTTTCTGACCAATCGGAGCCAAAAAAAAACTGAAAATCGAATGACTCACTTCGATTCTGTAGTACGTTGTGATTTATAGTAATGGAGACACTGGCAGTAATAAAGACGAATTTTTAAATAGCACATGATAAGAAATGCTGAAGTAACCAAGCAAACAGCTCTTATATCGAACGCTTTATCTTTTTCACGTTTTTGAACTCTTTGTTAAAATTCTTAAGCTTTCACCAATATTACGAGTTTTACTCGCCGCCGCGCCTCTGCACACCAATAAACACTAACATCCTGCGTCAACTGTAATGTCAGGAGTCAATGGCGAAAATCTGAGGCACCAATTTTGATTATAATGAGCTTTTCTCGCATTCTTACTTTATCAGCTGAAACACCCAATCCAACGTTTTTTCCGCCTGCGGTTTTCAAAAATTCATATTATCTCACAGTTTATCAATAATCTGAAATGTCGATGCTCAATTTTGCATGCAATTTCTGGTTAGCCCCACTAGTCTCTGAAGGACATAACAGGTACAAAAAACAATATTTGCAACTGTTTTGGCTCCTCACTCTGTCCGCTGTTGTAAATTGCGGTGATTCATTTATTCCGAGCGAGAATGGGAAAGCACCGAAGAGCATTTTTACACACCGGTCTACATATTTCTTGAGAGCAACGGTGGGCGATTTTTTAAAGCATGGTGTGCATAATTTTGGAAAGCGTAACTTAACCGTTTTCGCTGTGTTTTACTTTGCTTTGCAGCGCGTGCAGTTTTCAGGGGTATTGGTTATTCGTGGGTGCTTCCAAAACCAAACGTTCAACGATCGAAAACTGAGAGCTTCTTCATTCATCTTACGTGCATAATATGTTTAATCTTGTCTTTCTCACCGCAGTGCTTGGTTTCAAACATCGATGCACTGAACGAAGGGGATGTATACAGACACGCAGCGTGTGTTGTAGTCACAGCTCTGACTAAGCTGAGTGGTAACAACACCCTTTTGAAAGCTGAAATAGATTCCGTGCTCAACGTGCTGAGCTTCTACGGTGACTGCAAGGTATGGCTTTATTACTTTTTTAACGCTGATTTATCTTTCTTTTGATATTACATAGCACGATTATTACGTGAGGCTGTTCTAAATACAAGAGTGATGGACCACAATACCACGACAGAAAAAAGGGGACTAAAAGTTTGGTCAGCTAACGCTCTATATTAGTTCCCTCTTTAGACCATAAAAATGTCTTAGATCTGCACCTTAACCAGGTTTGATGAAAATGTTTTTCAGCGGTGCATCTTCTTTATTTGAGTAGATAACCCGACCTTCTACTGTTGTGAAAAAAAGAAGACAAACGTAGTACCTTTGACTCTGCCGGAAAATATTAAAAGCACCTTGGCCGTTTAGTTTGGCGATTCGGAATAAAGAATTTCCCGTTTTGGACTGAAACGCTCTCCAATCTGCTAAGCAGTGGAGGCTTGGGAGGTCTCGAACTCGCTTTACGCCTTTGAAACGCAGCCAAGTGCTCGCGGAGAGTCTTTACCACGCCTCCGTCGTAAAAAAAATAAAAAAAAACAAAAGTGTTTTGCCATATAAACCGTATTTCAAACATTTCCATAGTGTAAATAAAATAAAGCCTCCCCAGATGCCGTTTGACGAGACAAATTTATAAAAACGTTTACTGAACATACTTACCTGAGCCTGAAAGTTAAGAATCAAGAGCTTTAAATCACTTCCTATGGCGTCTTTCTACTAAGAAAATACGTCTGATTGGCGCCGAAGCTCGCAGATGGCGGAAATACAATAAATGATAACACATGTTTTTTTTATGCTTTGTGTTTGTTTTGTATGTTTCAGTATTAAGAATAAATAAAATCATGCAATGAAAATCGGCACTGAAAAAGAGCGCATCACTTCTGGCTCAAAAACTTTGTCTGATATTGCCGATTGCTAGAAAAGTGCCCGTCGTGTCCACCAGGGATCTTACGTGCCACTGTCTGCGGTCTATTGCCACGGTCAGATACAAATTTCTTTAGCAAACGGGCAATATAAGTCGAGAGGTTATTTAAGGTCTTGATTCGTAACTGTATTCACTAGAATGTTTTTATACACAATCTGCACGGTTCAGGCACGTTTCTGGAGTCTGAAGCCATAATACGTGCTGGACCTTAAGTGTTAAACTCTCAAGAATAATTTGGGGCTCGAAGTACCATGAATACAATGAATAATGTTTGTGAGCCTCAAATTCGAAGCAACAAGAGCTGTGCTTAAGAGTCAATCTTCAGTGGCATGTATTCGGGGGATAAATATTGCACTAATCCCCAAAAAAACAATACTGCAAAGAAAATAAAAAACTTGTAGAAGATTTTTTAGCTTAACATGCATTTGGTTTAAGTATATTTAACATGTACTTTTAACACACACACTTTCATTTCAGAAATAATCTGTGCAATTGTCATGTTCTTCAAGCATCGGTTCAACTCCCGGCATAACCTTTGTTGAATAATGCACATGGTGGTGGATTTGTTACTCAAGCGCATAAAAAAAAAACGGTGAACTTACCCAAGAGATATGTCATTTTATAAAAAATGTTTATATGACACTAATAAACGCATTTGAAAATCTCCGTTTTTTGCACACGTTGGGAAACGTACCGTCGGCGAACCCTACCTGAGCTCTCTCAATAAGAGGACAATTAGATCTCACTCTGGCTATCGCGATGACCGAAATCGCACCCCCGGCGACGTTTCGCCAACGGTCCAGATCCTTCAGTTCGTCTCACTCAAATACTTTGCGTAGAACGGCAAGGTTGTTTACAATCATAAATCGAAGGCCTTATTATTTGCATCTGACTGTACTACAATGTAGCGTTGTCTCACGCACCGCGGGAGGCGCACGCAATGCACGCAAAATGTTTTACCCACCGCAGGCAGACGTTCCAAAACAGTGGGCGCAAGCAACAAGAACAACTTGATTTGCTTTTAGAAAATCCGCAAGTTATTTTGCCTCGTCCGGAGGAATGCGACCTTACCCTGTAATCACACTTTATATTGAGCAGATCGAATGCCATTGGACGATCACTCCCTCAGGCAGATGTGGGGGGGGGGGGGGGGAGGGGGGTACAGGTATGGTGCCTGAAGAGCTTCTGCCACTGGTGTGTTAAGCGTCCTATCCCGTCCATACATCAAAATTGCTTCCGAAGTCGCAAAATTTACACGAGCACACTTAAGACTGCTTACGTGTTGGAAGGCGAAAGCCAGTCATGGACCAGCTCGAGGATAACGTCGATGACGTCGTCCAGGATGGCGCCTAGCATGATTTCTAGGATGACCTAAAGGACGACGTCTCGGACAATGTCGAGAATGACGCCTACAGGACTACGTCTAGGACGACCTTTAAGACGACTTCAAGAATGACTTCCAGGACGACTTCTAGGACAACCTATAGTGCGAAGTCAAGGACGACGTCTTGGACGACTTTTGGAACAACCTCTAGGACGACCTGAAGACGACGTCTAGGACAACGTCGAGAACGATGACTAGAGTATGACGCCTAGGATGATGTCGAGAACAGCGCCTAGAAGAGGACACTTAAAGGGACCATGAAATGACTTTTTTACTTTTTCCAGATAACTTTTACATTAAACCGTCAATGTTCACTGAATGCCGAACAGGCATCCGTTTTCGTCTCGGTTTATTAAATTCTACACAAAAAATTAATGAAATGTCGACTTTTTCTTGACCGCAAAACAAGCCGTGACGTACGCTATTTCCGGAACCGGAACTTCTCTCGGCAGTAGGAGATGGGAGCATCAGCGGCGACGAGTTGGGGTGCGCCGGTAGGTTTTACTGCGCCGATGTCACCGATGTATTTTCTGAATCGGCGCCTCTCATCGCCGCATCACAGCTGAGCGAAATTCAACGAGATATGTTGCGCTACAGCGACAGCATGGGACTAGTCCCATACACCGGTATGCCTGTTGGGAAGTGCAGCGAGTCTTCCGGTGAAGACTCCAGAAGTCAACCCAACTGTCATTGTTGGCAAAAGGCGGCCAGTGTCAGTCGTTTGCAAAGCGACGTAGATGGGAACAAATTGCCGCGCCGTTTTTCGCGGTCTCGGAGATGCAGGAGCGAGCCGACGTTAAAAAAGATACGTTTGAACTACGAGTGTTAGCAAGAGCCACGTAAATACCTGTTAACACTCGGAGCGGACGCGCGCGTTTGATGGAAGTGCTGTATTCGCGCTGTTGGTAAGCGCTTCGGGACCGATCTTTTACGATTGCAACCCGATACTGACGCGACACTCGGCAAAGAAAGGTTGGACCGGTATTGCACGTATACCTCTCACGAACTGTTACAGCTCGACAGTGACGTGCAGTCTGTCAGGATAAAAATGGCATACCAATAACAAAGTGTACATACCGTGTTACGAAGGTAATCCATACAGCGTTTATTTCAGCTCTATATCACACAAAACAAGAAGAGAGAATCGACGAGGGTCCCTTTTCGACGAGTGTTCGTCAACACTGCCTCGGAAAACAAGGGGAAGAGATTGACCTCACCTTTTAACGTAAAATTGAGGTCAGCGATCAAACTATTATACGGGAAGGGTCCACAAGGGTACCCCACAAGGGTAGCGCGGGCATATTCCATTCAGCACGCCAGCCGGTCGCAGGCATACACAGTAAATATTTTAACACCCAAAATCGCGTTAAAAGGGTGTTTTTTTAACCAACACCCTTCCTACACCCTTCCTACACCCTTTTTACACAATTTTGAGTATTGGTGGGTGTAACAGGGGTGTACGAGAAGGCTTACACCCTACATACACCCCTCTTGCACCCCTATCACACCCACAATTTGAAATATGTTCAGGAAATCGTGTTAGAAGGGTGTAAGCACTCGTCGCAACACCCCCCGTTCATAACGTGTAGAAAGGGTGTGATGGACTTGTATGATTTCAAGGAGTCGGAGTTAATCACGTCGAAGAAACCTTGTTTACGAGAGGAGCCGGTAAGGACATCGTGACATCGATTGATCGTCATCGCGGTATAGCAGCATGTGCCCCAAATCGAGGAGCTAGCTATGAAATGAGTCGGAAAAAAAAAAATGTCGCCTGCATTAGCAAGCTCGAATTTTTATCTAATATGTGCTTTACGCGATGGATTTTATACTTTGTGCAATACGAAGACGTAGCTCAAATTGCTTGGAATTATGTAGCGATGCATCGGTCCGCGTCCCGTCAAAACTTCAGGACATCAACGAGAACGTGCAAGAATGCGCGTCACATTAATCTTACACAAATCCGCTTTCCGCTCTGTTCGGTCAATATCATTGTCATCGACGACGTTTTTCTTCACGCCAGAGGAGAGGCCATTTATTCGTACCGGTTTTTGCCCGACAACCCGGCGCAAATGACGATGAGCAGTGCTCTATGCTTCCGTCCCCGGTCAAGTGGTTTTCAACGGACGTCCACACACTTTTCATCCACACGGTGTGAGACGGGCGTAATGTTGATACTGTCGATTACATCCATGATTTTATAACCGTTCATGTTTATTGCTTTGATGAAACGGTTGCTGATGTACGGCGGTACCAACATCGAATATAATTAATCTCCACACAAATGCGCGTATGATTAGGAAGTGCTAGAGAATGTTTTTTGCAACTGCGATCGAACTCTTCGTCCGAGAGGAGCCGAAAATTACGTGTCGCGCGTGCATCAGTTTTATCAGTTCAACTTCGATTTAAAAAATCACCTCCCCTCGAAAAAGGTGACCGAAGACGTGTAAATATACAGCCCAGGCAACACACCGTATGTCGCCGATATTGGATCTATTCGAAAAGATTGTGCGCACACCATTTTGGTTTAGCCAATATTTAATGAATGGGAGAAGTCGCGCCAACGATATCCTGACATAACGTACGCGACGCCCTTTTTAGTTGAGTGTTGAGAGTATCCTGCGTGAATCGGCTATGCCGGAGAGGTATTTCTATTTCTTTGCCGCCTAAAATGCGACGTTAAAAATAAAAAAAAAGATTAGCTAAAACGGAATCTGCTTGCTTTTAGCCCTAGAAGTCTTTCCCGGGCAAAAAGCGAGCAAATTCCGCTTTGCTTAATCTTTTTATTCATTTTATTTTTAACTGCGCTTAAGCTTGGAACAAACAGTGGCGCCTTTTTTTTTTTTTTTTGGTAGCACAAACTCACCTGACTGAACCAATAAATACACTTCCAAACACATGAAGAAAAAA